CCTGTTTCCTGCAGGGAAATTCACTAATATGGTTCATCCCCCTTCCCTCCCCCACAAATATCATCCTGCATAATGGCCGGTATCTGTGTTAGCTACATCTCTTCCTTGTACTTTTCTGTATTGCTTCAGTTCCCTACAGTGAAATTTTGCTATTTAACAAAAAACATCAGTTGCCTCCATCGCAGGGACATCTGGATGACCCTAAGCTCCAGGGAGAGACGGTATGACTCTGAGCTATGGATCCTCCCAGGTGACCACATTTCAGTCAAAAATAAAACACATACTTTTAAAAAGTACATGAAAGATCCATAAGGATTCAGATGCCCTGGGCACACAGATTCCACAGTGTGCATAAGACTTCAAAATGTGAACTCAGTCTAGTCCATATGTGAAGATGAAATAGGGTCTCACTAAGTCATTAAGTGGCCAGGCTGGGCTTGAACTTGCAATCCTCCTGCCTCAGCCTCCGAGTCCTGGGATGACAGGTGAGCAATACTGTATCTAGCAAGAAAGCGTTTTCCAGAGAAGACAGGCTTAGGCAGACCTGCAGGCAGAAGGGTGTCAGCTCCCTGGCGTGAGAGAGGAGAATAGGCTCTGTGTGTTTCAGAGCACAGTGCAGCCAAACAACCACAGAAGGATAGTGGGGGCCCAGTGGATCGACACGAGGCATCAAAGTAGATGTCCAGGCAGAGACTAAGCCATCATATGGCAATTTTATGTAAGAGGAATGTTTGGCAATTTGTGCTTTTCAGCCAGGGCCTCACTGTGTCTCCAGACTGGCCTTGAACTTTCTGGCACAAGTGATCCTCCTGCCTCAGCTTCCAATGTCACTGGAATAAGAGATGCACCACACTTGGCTTCTAGGAGGAAATTTTGAGTAAGGACAAGATGTGACAGATCTCTACAAATAGGATGTGGGCGATGCACCTGCTGAGTTGCCTGACCCAGGCACCTCCCCATACTGCCCTCAGAATCCTGGCCCCAGGAGGGTTGTGGCAGAGCATGGCACCCCAGAGAGCCAGAATCCTTTTGCTTTCTGGGCCAAGGAGCAAACTCACATCCAAGAGGCCTCAGGGTCCCGGTAGAGATGACCACTGGGTAGGACTGGAGTCTGCCGTCCACCTGCTGCCCACTGCTCAGCGAAAAAAGCAAGCAAAAACACTCTGGCTGGAGGGCCTACTCCTGTCCTGGTGTGGACACAGCCCTGCCCCTGAGAGCTGTCATGCTGGCCTGAACCCCTTGCCCACCAGTGGCCTCATGGTGAGGGGCACAGAGGCCTCGGTGCATATGCTGTGGCACTTGAGTGGCTTTGGGTGCTGGGCCTCAACCAAGGCCCCGGGGACTGGTTGAGGCCCCATGGAAGCCATCCTGGCCCCAAAGCCAAGCTCACTGCCTATTTCCTGCCCGTCCCTCTAGATCTCGCCCCTGGAGGGCCAGCAGCCTTGGCTCCTTCCCTCTCTGAAGTCTGCCTGCTCTGCCCCCCATAGCTGCTCTGGGGACCCCCAGGTGCTGCCATCCTGGCCCAGGGAGAGGATGCCCAAGGACTTGGGCAAGATGAAAGTGCCAGTTAGGGCCCCACACCAGGCCGGGCTCGGTGACAGATGGTAGCCGCAAGCTTCAGGGCAGCTATGACTCCTGCAGCTCACCCTCACCGCATGTTCACCGTGTGATGTGCCCCCCAGGAATCTGGCCTCCATGGTGGAGGGTGCCGAGGAGGGAGGCAAGTGTCAGGGGAAAGGGCCAGGGCTGGAGAGGGGCCACCATGGAAAGGGCAGGACACAGACAAGGCCAGTGGCGGCAGCTGCAGGTAGAGCACGGGGCCAGAAGGCCTCCCCCAGAGTTGGCTTCAGCAGCAGGAGCCCACAGCCAACTCATCTTCCAGTTCCTGGGCCTGGGGTGCACACAGCCATGCTCAGCAGCCACGCCAACACCGATAGTGTCCAGCACCCTTGGTCTCAGAGCTCACCCCTCCCACAGGACCAGCAGGCTGGCCTCTGTGGGCTACCTGCCCTGTGGAGAGGAACCCAGAAGCCCTGAGCCTACAGACAGGGGCTGTGCTTGTCTCAGTCCAAGAGGTAAAAAGGGTGCTGCTCAGCAGTGTCCCTGGACGTCCCCCTGGTCACCAGCTGCTGAGAGAGGACAGCAGTAGGCAGCTGCAGAGGCCAGAGCTCAGGCTGATGGGGCAGGGTCTGGAAAGACGCAGCTGTTGGCTTCCTGCCCTGGCTGGGCACTTGCCCTGTGCCCCATGGCAACCCCACCCCAGGGCAGGGATCGCCAGCCAACACCACTCTCCTGGGCCTTTCTGGGCTGGGCCAGGCTCTCAAGGTCTGGGCCCTGGAGTTGCCAGCTTCCGTCAGAAGCTTCATTAATTCCTGTCTGATTAACTTCCCTGCACCAAGCCTGGCCTGGCCTGCAGGGTGAGGGCTTAGCCACATGCATGCGTACAGGAGCTGTTAATATGGATCCTCCAGAGCAAGTGGACACAGAAGGGCTGTCTCCCTGCCGCAGAGTTTGAGGGGCACTGTCCTGCAGGGCTCAGCAAAGCGCCTCCCTCAAGGGTCCTCCAGCCACCAGGATTTGGGGCAAGAGGCAATTCTGCTCAGCTAAGAGCACGCAAAGTACAAGTGTTGGTATTTCAGCCTCAAGTGTCTGCTGATGCCTGCAGGAAAAGAGGACACTGCCTGTGAGGGGTAGAGGCAGGGGCCTGAAAACCCGCACTTCCCACTCAATGCCCTGCTCCTGACCTCTGGGGATCCAGGTATCCACCTTAGCCTTTACCACTTCAGCTACTTCTAGCTCAGGATGCCTAAAAAGAAACCCCAAGAGATTCTCAAACACAGCACTGAGCAGGTGAATGATTGTTCCTTAGCTTTCCCTCTGATTGGGGTTATGATGCCAGATGGAGCAGCAGCAGCCACTTTGAGACTGTGAGAAGCAGGATGAGCATGAAAGCTGAACCAAGGACAACACTTGCCGCCACCAGGTCCCCAACTGCACGGCTGAGCCACTTCAGGTTACTGTCACCAGGCTACTTGGTCCAGAAGCATCTCCCTCGCACGCACCTGGAGTGTCCCCTCTGCACCTGTTGCTTCCTGCAGCCCAGTTCAGCCTGTAGCTCTACTGAGGACCCAGCCTTACTCTGTCAGTATCTCTGAGGGCAGAGAATCCCAGGAACCTGCTGGGGACCCAGGCAGAGCAGGCAGGGCAGAGGCGTGCAAGGCCCTTGCCCTGCCCAGGTCCCCAAATCCTGGCTGCGCTCCCCCACAGTACAGTACCATGTAGAGCCCAGCTGTTCTGGGGACTCCACAGTAGGACTGAGGTGAGCAGCTCAGAACTGCGCACCCTGGAGCCGCAGACACCAGGTATGCCTGGCCACTCTCTCCTCCGTGGTGGGAAGACAGCCTGAAGGCCAAGAGTGACCGGGCTTGACCAGCCCCGTTACAGGGAGTGCCAAGGTGTGGACTGGCCCAGGGTCTTCCCCAACTGCCTCCAGCCTTGGTTCTGCAGGTCCAAGCACCACCATAAGCCTTAGGGTGCTTCAGCAAGCACCTCCTGTCTCTGCTCTCTTTCTCTCTCCCCCCTCCTCCTCCTCTCTCCCTTCTCTTCTCAGAGCCCCTCTGTGCCTGTGCGCCCCAAGTCCTTTTCACTCTTTCTCCATCTGTTTGTGGCTGTCCTTTTTGTCCTGTCCTTGTCTCTCTGCAGCCTCCTCCAGCTGCCCAGTGTCAGGCTTGGTCTGTCCCCAGGCTTTGTCCACCTGGAACCTCCGTCTGTGTCCGGCCCTTTCCTGTCTGCTGCACACACAGTGGAGATACCAAAGCTGATCCCTGTGAGTGAGAGGGACCTGGTGCCCCAGACCTGGTGGCTGTGCCCGCTCGGAGAAGTGGACGATATTTCGGTCACAGCGCATGCCCAGGGCAAGAGTGTTTCCCACCCTATGTGCCACAGCCCTGCCCACTCCGGCCACCCTCCTGGGGCTCCCAAGGCATCCAAGAAGCTGCACTGCTGCTGCCACAGGAGAAACTTTGGGCTGACATGGAACAAAGAGGGAACCCAGGCTGGCAATTACTCAGCTAATTTCAGCCATGTAGACAGGCAAATCAGATATTCTGGTTTTCTCAAAGCCCACTTCAGGGCCTGAATTAGCCACTTAATTAATTATCTGGAACAGCCTGGAACTGGCAGCTTAGAACAAGGTCCCAACCAGCGCAGGATGCTGGCCTGTAACAACGTGGTGACATCACCAGCCTCCTATAAGCCAGTAGCCTCCTCTTGACTTGGGTGGGAGAGGGGCAGTGGCCAGCATTCCTCTGGAGATGTAGGACATCTACCTATCCCCCTCTCTCTGGGACATGCTGCTGTCTGTGTGTCTCCCACAGAGCCTGAAACCCACTGTAGCCAGTGACCAGTGGGGCAGGTGTCTCCCAGGAGCTCTGAGGAACCCAGGAGGCAGCTCTGGGGTCTGAGACTCACCCACGACAGTGCCAAGGCCTGACGGGTGAGCTGACCTGACACCCCTGCCATTAAATGCCAGCCCTCCTGCCACAATCCCTGCTCCTCTGCAGGAACTCAGATCACCGTCCCCTGCCAGCTCCAGTCCTAGGCCCAGTTTCTGGCTATATGAGGATGGCCCTGGGCCAGGCAGAGACAGGGCACCATGTCCAGCGGCAGTCCCAGGCTGCATAGGCCAAGGTCCTAACACACATGGATGTGTGTTTCATCCTGCAAGACTGAGAGTCACAAAGAACCTTCTCCTGTCCTGTATCCAGCCAGCTCTGGTTCCCAAGGGAACATGCTGGCCTCACCCAGGTAAGTCCTAGCCAAAGGCCACAGCTGGCTCTGTGCCACCCTGTCCCACCGTGTTGCTGTTATGGCTTTGCCACTGCAGTACTGCCCAGGCCGGATGTGAGTGAGGGGTCGTGGGCACCCCCCCTCTTTCCTCTGGCCCCCAACACTGGGCATGCATGACCAAGTGGGTGCCTGTACCCAGCCAGCCCTCCTACCTCCCAGGGCCTGTTTCATCACAAACTCCATGATGATGGCTTGGTTCCTCGGTGACCACTGGGTTCAGGACTCACATAGGAGGAGGCAGAGTCCCTGCTGGGGAGAGCACAGGGTTAAGGCCTCCTTCAGACCCTCTGTGTCCCCTGGTCCTGCCAGGGTCCTCGCTGCCAGGCTTCAGTCCTCGAACTCAGCCCAGGATGGGCACCCTACCCAGCTGGCCCTGTGTGTTCCCTACCTGGCTCTCAGCTGTTACTGGGGGTCTCACAACTGGGGCCCACAGAGAAGCCTTGCACCAGGCTGTAGGCAGTGGGGGTGGGGCCCAGGGCATTTGAAGGTCATGGCCCTGCTCTCAGCCGCCTCTGGTCACCGGCCCCTGGGTGATCCTGGCCACATGTGGGGCAGTAGTCTGTCTACAGGATGCAAGAGGAGAATGGCAGATCTCAGACCCTCTCTGTGGCAGCTGATAGTTTCCAGAGGTTGGGCTGTGTCCCTGGGTGACTCCAGTGACCTCTATGGCCCTCGGCATAGCATTGGCAGGGAGGCGAGGGGAGGGAACAGAGGAGGATGCAGGGGTATAGCCCCCAAAGTGGTGGGGGCATTGAGTGTGGAATGCCTACTAGGCAATTCTGTGGGGGCCTCCTAAAAGACCATAATGCAGCAGTGCCCCTGCCTTGAGGGGTGTCACCTGGCACAGAAGCCCAGGTCCCAAGGGACTTATTGCTTCACAGTTGTCCCTGGGCAGCCAAAGAGACCCCCTTGGGAACTCAAGGCGGGGTGGTGATGGGAGAGATCCCAGATGGCCTTTGCCGCAAAGCTATTCTCTTCCAAACTTCGCTTGCCTGGGGGAAGGGACCTGAGAGGCCCTGACCAGGACCCTGGGCTCTGTGGGCAGGCAGGGGGCCGAGCCGGTGGCCTCGGGATGTCCTGAGCAACGGGAGAGGGATGCAGACAGCAATAACAAGGCGCAGGGACTCAGAAGCGGCCAGGGACCGCGGGCCGCTTCAGCACCGCGCAGTGGACAGCGCCCGCTCAGCGGGGGACATGGGGCGGGTAAAGGAAAGGGTAGTCAGGGGTCCTAGGGGCTCAAGGTGGGGAGCGGGGGTTCAGGGCTGAGCAGGAGCCCGCGGCACCTAGAGGTACTGGGGGACGCTGGGGGCGCCGAAAGGATCTGAATAGACCGGAGATGCGGGGAAATCCAGGAGCCAAAGCAGGGGTCTGGGAGCAAAGGGGTCTGGGGATCGCGAGGACCAGTTAGTTACCTTCCGGCTGCAGTCAGCGGCGGCGCGCGCTCGGGCCGGCGGGGTCCATGTGGCGGCTGCGGCGGCGCTGAAGGGCAGGAGGAGGGCGCGTCACCAGGAGGCGTCCGCCCCCCGCCCGCGTCCCGCATGACGAGGAGGGAGGGCGGTGGCTCCGGGAGAGGCGACAGCCGCGCCCCGCCCCCACGCCCGCGCCTGGCCCGAGACCCCCCGAGTCCAGCCAACCCTCCCCAGCCTGTTTTGCCAACGCACTGGCCTGTCCCGCCTAGAGCTGCGGGCTCTTGCTTGGGGTCGGAGGCTGAGCCCCCTCGCCCAGTGCAGAACACCGGGCAGGGACTCCTGAAGGTCACTGCAGATGCCAGCCTGCCCCCTTTCCGACCTGATTTTCCCGCCGCTGCACTGTAGGGCGTAGGCACTGTAAGGTCGGCTCTGGCCCACCTACCCAGGTCCCTGGCGGACAGGCCAGGGTCGTGCGGGGACACCAGGAGCGCTGGGCTCCTGCCAAGGCAGGCTCATGGCCATCAGTGGACACTGCAGGGACACTGCATCACTTATCACAGAGCCTCATCCACCCTGGGAGCCCAACTGTCTGTGCCTTGGCCCCTCCTCCCTGGTCAATGGGGACCTCCACAGAGGTCACCCTGGCAGCAGAGAGGCCAAGAGTGGGTACCGGGCTTCCCAGGAGTCCCAACCCCAGCACTTCCCACTCCTCCTGCTGCAGGGTGGGGGGAAACTCCACAGCTACCGGGGCCCCAATGGCACCAAGCTGGCCATGGGAGTGTGCCAGGCACCTAATCCTGTGCACAAGATGGATACACCTGAGCCCACACTGCCCAGCCTTCCACCCAGCGAGTGAGATCCAGGATGACGACCAGAGAAGGAACGAGGCCTGGGAAGGAAAAATTGTACCCCACAAGACCCCAGATTGACCCCATACTGGACCTGGACCATTACCTCTATGTTGGGCAGTTTGCTGGGTCCCAGTGGCACCAGGAAAGCTTGAGTTTCTCAGAATGGGAATACCCAGGGATTGGGCTTCTGAGCAGAAGCCCAGTGCCAGGTCCACCCTCCAGATCTAAGGCTAGGGGACCCTGCACTGAACAGCAGACTCTGTGCTGATGCAGAACTTGCCACGTGGCCAGGGACAGGCACTGTCCAGAGGAGAGTGCCCTGCCAGCCTTAGATTCTATCCCATCTCCTTCAGTCTCTATGCCTCCCTCTGTCTCTGACTGTCTCTGTCTCTGCCCATCTCTGTCTCTCCCTGTCTCTGCCCATCTCTCTGTGTTTACTGCATGTCTGCCCACACAGGCAACTATCTTTCTCAGCTTTCTTTTTCGGATACAACTGGGGGAGACTCAGCCATCACCCGGTCACAATGAGGACACTTCTGGAAGGGCTGAGGACTGCTACAAGTCTCAAGGTCCTATCCAGGGAGACAATGGGACTTGGGGAAGATGAATAGGGTGGGATAAGGGGCTGATGGCCAGTGAGTGGGTTGTGTGGAAGGCGGTGAGTTGCTGGCAGGGTTCTCTGGAGTCACTTCCAGCCCTAGTGGGGCCTGGTATATCTCTGTCATGGGACCCACGTGGCTGAGGTGATCCAAAAACCATAAATGAAAACTCGGTAAGGCAGCACCCAGCACAGCAGTGGGTGCCACCATTTCCGGCAAGACTTCATCTTCACTTGAAAAGTGAACACATGAGAAGCAGGATGAAAAGTTGTCCTTCTCCCAGGTTGGACTCCGAGAGGGCAGACATTTCACAGCCATGCACACCCATACCTGGACCTGGATAGTCAGCACTGTCCAAGAGCCCTGGGCATGCTGTCCTTTGTGGCCGTAGAACTTGGAGATGGAAAGAGGAGCCATGTTTGGAGTCCCGGGAGAGGATGGGACACAAGCCAGTTGGTGGACGTCGCTTAGCAGGGCCCATCCCAAGCCTCACTGCCTCCCACATGGGTGCCCAGTCCATTCCTTTGGCCTTCAAAGCACCCAGCCTTCCACCAGCTCATGCTGGCCAGGCACAAGATACAGTCAAACTGTCCAGGCCCCAGCCCTGGCTCTCAGCCTCCTGGGGGACCTCAGGATGGTGCAAAACATCAGGGTACCCCAGAGCCCATGCCTCAGGCTCGCTCTGTGGGCTGCAGGACCCCAAACAACCAGGGCAGGAGCCAAGCCATCCAGGAGCTAGAGGACAGGCCCAGAACCCTGACTAGGGACCAAGGAGGTGCAGGCTGTGGTCTCCCATGGCTGCCCCAGTGTGGAAGACGGTGGCCCTCTGCAGCCCATGTGTAGGTCTGGAGTTCTAGCTGCCTGTCACCATCCAGGGCAAGCTGGCTTCCTCCAACCTTTGTTGCACCCAACTTGTGCCATCAAAGGCCAGCTGCCTCCCCTGGCCTAGAGTACCAAGACATTCCAAGAGCAAGAGGAAGGCCTGGGGTGACGTGTTTCAGGTAAGATGCAGGTGTACAGCCTGGGGTGGAGTCACTCTGCTTTGGGGCTGTGGTGGGCAGGGGTGGCTTCTCCATCACATGGGATAAGGGCTGTGGTGTCAAACTGTGGCCCGATCCCCTCAGGCTGCTCGGCCAGGAGGACAGCATCCAGCTGCAGGAGCTCAGAGGTGCAGAGAACTGCCGGGGGTGCATGGGAGGAGTGTGGCAGGATGGCACCTGGCATCCTCCCATCCTGAGGTCTCTCTGCAAGGCTGGCTTGTGGGAACATGAGCCGAGGACTCAGCAGCTCTATGTGCCACAGCCCATCTCCCAGCAGTGAGTGACTCACCAGCCACAGTCCAGCGGTGCCCAGTTACCACCATGAAGCCAGGAGCAGCACTCTGGGCAGAAAGGGTCGACTTGCCAGTCACCTGCCTGGGCTCTTCCTGGGTCAGCCAGGCCTGGCTTACATCCTCTGGAAGGCCATCCCAGGTCCACAGCCCCCAACCCTGGCCACTGTGGCTTGGCCCCAGCCTGGCCTTGGCTGGTGCTGGGGAAGGTTAGGGAGTGTGGACATCTCACCCATGTGAAGAGCCCACAGGTCAGAGCAGCACAAAGCACAGAACCCTAAGTGATACTCCATGCCACTCTCAATATGAGGGAGAACAAGTGGCACACGCACACAGGAGGAGTTACATCCAGTCCTCAAAGAAAGAACTGTCACTCCAGGGACACAGGTGTGGATCCTGCTGTGCAGTGTCCACATGGCAAAGCTGAAGACACTCAGACTGGGGCAGGAGGGGGCATGGTGCTAAGGATAGTGCCCGGGGGAGGGGCTGGTGTGGAGACAGACAGGCTGCACCTTGGGGTGCACTGGGTGCTCCTGAGTCCAGGAAGTGAGAGATGTGGGGGCCAGGAAAGGGCTGTGAGTGTCCCTTGAGGGTGGAGGCTGAGTTGGGCTGTGGTTGGACCTACAGGCTGCTCCTGGGGCTGCACTTGGGGCCTTCCATTCGGGCTGAGGGTTTGGTATAACCCATCTTCCCTATCCTCACTTGAGTGAACTCTTGCTGCCCCCAGGCCTGAGCCTATGCCTCTGAACCCAGTATCTTGGGCCTCTATGGTTCCTTTGGCGGGTTCTTTCCAGCCAAGCACTGTGAGAACCTCATTCTACCAGGGAATCCTGGCGCCACAGCAGACTGCTCCTATCTGACCCTGGGAAATCTTGATCCAAAGTTTGTAGTGTCAATTCAATAAAAAGTAGAATAAAAGTTGAATCATGGGTTTTTGAACCACGGTGACACTGACTATTAAGTAGCAGAGACTCAAATATTCTGTGTGCAGAGGAGGATGTAGGGAAACTGAGGTCAGGGACCCAGACACCATAACAGCAAGGCCAGGGCACAGTGGGAGGAGTGTGGTATTCACAAGGCAAGGACAGGCAGCCTGGGCTTCCTCACACAAACAGCCAGAAGCCCAGCGATGCTGAGGAGCAGCTGCAGCCACTGGTCTGCAAGTCTGAGCTGAAGTACGGGGCAAATGTTCTCTCCACCTGGGGCCTCTGAGGACAGCTAGATATGGATGTGACTTGCCATTGGCTGGGTGATGGGAAAAGCCACCTGATCTGCAGTGAGGCTCACGTCATCCTGCCCCTGCAAGGCCTCTGGCCAGACGGTGGTCACACAGGTGGTACCAGGGTGGAAGATAGATGGGAATTCTGGGACATCACTCGAGAAAGCATGGAGAACCAACGTCCACCCTGGGCAGTGCAGCAGCAGGACAATGCCAAAGTGCAGATGGGGTGGGAAAGTTTGGAAAGGTCCCAAGGACACAGCTGGCCACACAGGGCATACATGACCCAACCTGAAGAGCATAGTCTGGGCCACAGGGACAGCCAGGGACGTGATAGGTGCCAGCAGCAGCCCCAACCCTCTCTGCAACGTGGGCCTTCAAGCCTTCCTGTGAGGCCCTGGGCACAGCAGCAATGGTGCTCACCACATGGGCTCACCCAGGCTCCCTGGAGAGCAGCAAGGCACAGGGCCCCATAGCCCACTTCCTCCTCACCCACAGTCGGTGCTGTGTCTAGGACACTGGTTGGAAGGACACAGCTGGCAAGGGCCAAGAGCTTGTTTCAGGACCATGAAGCTCTGATGGACACAGGGAGAGTGAGCCAGCAGTTTGTGCCTTTTGTGTCAGCCTCTTTTCTGCTGGTCACGGTTCCCTTCCCACCCGGTATCTACGTCATTACTGGTTTGGTGTGATGAATAAAGGTTCTTGGACACTCAGTACAATGCAAGGAAATGTGAGTTGGCTTCTCTGAGGCGGAGCCTGCAACTGGAATCCAGCCACACTCATTTTTTTTTATTTTAAAGAGCATAAAACTGAACAAAATAAAACAGGATAAAGCCAATCAAAACAGAACAATGAAAGTGATACAGTACGACTTCTAATCAAGATAATAGGAAATCAACAATGGCTGCCATGTCTCTTGTTATCTTCAGAATAGCTGCCCATATCATTGGACATAATACAATCAAAACATAAGAATAAAATCAGTCCTAATGAAAACAACACAGAATTCAAAACAAGATAATAGGAAATTAACAATGGCTACCACCTTTCCTTTTTAGATATTTCCTCCTCCATCACCTTCACAATACCTAGTGTACATTTTGGATCCCACAAACTCCTTCAGTTTTTTGTGCTAGGGAGAAA